TTTGTAAATAAATAAAAATATAGCTTTCCAAAAACAAAGACGTAATTTGAATTTTATTAACAATTAATTTAGAACAAGAAATTCATATCTTGTGCCGAAATGCATTTGTTAAAGTCAAACGTTTGGGCTCCAAGATGGCGGACGAGTCAGCTCCCCTTTATCTAGTAGCTCTAGCGCGATGAGTTCAGGGTAGGCAACCCGTTGACTCCTAAAAGCCATGGTTTACGGCCAGTGCAAACCGTTGAAGAGCTCACCGAAAGAATTATCCAAGCGTTTGATGAGATACGAGCTTCCCCAGGCAAGTTGCAAAGGATAAAAGAAAACATGATTCGCCGTTGCCATTTGTGCGTCGATCAAGGTGGTCGTCATTTCGAGCCCTTGCTTTAAAATGTGTTATCGGTTTACAGAACTGTTAATAAACCGTTGTTTAATTGAACGGTTGTTGTTTTAAACAGAATCCCAACATTTGTTCTTAAACGTAGCAGCTAGCGTAGTAAAAGATGTGCACAACGGGTTGCCTACCCTGAACTTTTCGCGCGTTCCAGCGGGTTAGGGGTTCGTTTCCGCCCCCATGTGTATTGGTAAAAAATGTTTTGATTTGTACTTTCACCCCTCAATCGTTGTAACATGAATTTAGTAACACTCTGTATGTATAACAAATTTTATCACCTGTTTTCAGAGTAAAGATTTCAAATTTATGCAGTTTTATTTTTTTTAAGTACTGCATGTAGACAATTATTGTTAATTGTTAAATATTCAAGACATGTTAACTGATGTCACAAAGTATGAAATATATGAAACTGTTTTGCTTGAAATTTAAAAATAATCGTATTGCCAATTTTTATTTCTTTATAACAGTATATACATTCCCCTCGGGGAATATTTACATTGATAATTACATTTATCACACTTTATTTGATTAGGGTAATAACAATATCCAACTAAAACTTCTTTCCACGTAGTTAGAATATCAAAGGGCTATCGGGTAACACAAGTTCATTTATAAATAACGCTGCCTAGAAAAATTTATGATGTAAGGATAGAGAGGGCTATAAACGGTCGAAATAAATTAGCTTTCTCACTATGACATACATTTCGTAGCGTATTTGGATAATTTATTGCATTTACATCCAAAGGTATTATGATTCAATTTGCGATTAAAAAAACGATAGAAAGACGTTGAGGAATCCACTATCATGTCGCTACTATTATTTCCACGATTCCATTACTCGTAAAACGCATGTGTGAAAAAAGTTTTTAAACAATTTCTTTAGTAATGTAACTCAGATATGACATAACTTTCTCGTGAGATGTGTGTAACGGTATTTAACGTCCTGAACGGCAGTACATGCACTGCCCAAAACCTCGTCTCAAGATTTACCACCGAAACCGCCCATCAAGTTTCCTAATCCACCTGCAGCGCCCTGTTGTAGCTGTTTCATTATGTTTTGCAATCCTGGCATACCACCTAAAATAATCACGGGAAAACGTAAAATTGTAAAGTTCGAGATAAATTTGAAAAACAATCCGAGACGCGTCGTAACATAATGAGACGTGCCTTTCATTTTTCAGTATTATATAAAGCGAGATTTACAACTGTAGTGACGGAGTATACAAATTTATGAAGAATGTGCACATAAAAAAATAAGTTTTAACTTAAAATAAGATTTCTATTCGTACCAAATTGCTTACCCATTTGATGCAATACACGCGGATCCATCATTTTAGCCATTTGATGATTCAGTTTCGCCATTTGTGTAGGATTAACGTTTTTCGCCATGTCTCCCGCCTTAAATAAACCCTTTATGCCGCCCATCTTCTTAACGACTGCTGCGAATTTTGTATACTGCAAAATTAAATCCTTGACCTCTTTCTCTATTACACCAGAACCCCTTGCCACTCTTGTTATCCTTCCAGGTTGCTTGCTGAATAACTTTGCTCCATCTCTGCTATCCAGCTCTGAAGTAGACATAACGTATAATAAATGTTGCCAAAACGACAAATTACAAGGGACAATATAAAGCATTTTAAATAGCAAACCTGAGTCGTTCATACTGTCCATAATAGTCATGAGTCGTTTTAATCTTGCCATTGATTCCTGCTCTGTCCCTTTTGACATGAAATCTTGGCTAAATCCAGGGATCATACCCTACGCACAATAAAATTATAGGATTAATTATAAAATGCATTACAATTATATTCAACTTTTACAGCAAATACAAACGCTGCCAATTTTATTCTATGAGACTTATTAGAAACATAAATGGAGTGATGATTTTCCACGTTATTTACCATTAATTGTGAAAATGGTCCCATCTTCATGATATTTTGAAATTGTTCATACATGTCTCGTAAGGTAAATTGACCATGTTTGATCTTTTCCAGTAATTCTTCGTTATCGTCTAGATTGAGTTCGTTCACTTTATCAATAAGACCTTCGATGTCTCCCATACCTAGCAACTTGCTAATAAATGGTTTTGTTTTAAACGGTTCTAGATCGTCTATATGTTCTCCTGTACCAACAAATATTACAGGACTTTGTGTCGCTGCAACACTAAAAAAAATTAAATATTACACACGTGTATGAGAAAAAATTTTAATTGCTTAGTCCAGAAGTAAAAATTAACATTTATAGCAAAATAACGTTGCGTTCTTTTAATTTGCATAAACATGTTGCAAAATAACAAGTGTACGAAATAGTAAACTAGTGAACCAAGAAAAAGAGAACTCACGCGGAAAGCGCCCCACCACCTTTAGCGTGGCCGTCCAATTTTGTAATTATGATGGAACCGACGTTAACGCGTTCTTTGAAGGCTTTCGCCTGTGCTTCACAAGCCTGGCCTATCGTTGCGTCCATAACGAAAATTATATTGTCTGGTTGCTGCACCATGTGAAGACATAACATTAAAAATGTTGACTTTTTCTTTATACATAACGCATAAGCATAAGAAGCACTAGAACTTTACCACAGCATTGGCGACTTGTAACATTTCTTCGAACAACGATTCTTCTTGTTTATGTCTCCCACTTGTATCTACAATGATAATCTCGTATCCCTCTTTCTTGAACATGTCAACGCCGTCTTGTGCAATTGCTACAGGATCTACTTCTGTATAACTAAAGTAAAAGATTGTTAGCACAGCAAAGGGAACAACATTGTAACAAGTGTAATAAATGTATCTTCCACCTCTATTTACCTTCCATAAAATGGTATTCTAGCCTTTGTGGCGTTTTGCTTTATCTGATCGTATGCGCCAGCACGAAAAGTATCGGCGCATACTAAGCACGCCTTCCAATTTTTCTTAAGATAATGATACGCGAGTTTGGTACAAGTTGTTGTTTTACCGGAACCTTGTAAACCGACAAACATAATTATGTTAGGACGGCCTTTCACTGGTTGATAAGCCTTAACACCAGGATCAATTAACTGAAAAAGAAAAATCCGTGAATTAAACACACTCGTAAACACTGAGGGCTACAATATTGCTTACAAACTTGTTCACGAATCCTCTAGTTGCCTAGAAAAAAATTCAAGATAACAAACCAACCTTCACGAGTTCCTTGAAGACTGCGCTCTGTATCATCCTCCTTTTATTAAGACCGCCAGCCATATCCTCAAAATCGATAACCTGGCGTACATTTTCGCGCAATTTTTTCACTAATCTAATATTTACATCAGCTTCGAGTAACGCTGCGCATATCTCCTTCAGCATAGAATTTAAAACCTGCCGAGACAGAGGTCAATGTAGCTACTGTGGTAAAAGCTCAGTCACTTAAGCGTCGTCTACAATATGTGGAGTAAGCCTGGCGTAAGGAGTAAGAGAGATCCACAGCTTTAAAGCGTGGTCTACAATGGCAGTAGGAGTAGTGGATTAAAGAAGTAGGCTCAACTTTAACCTATTTCGTGAACTGATTATCAGTGGCTGAGAGTAAAGGAGTAGGTCGTACGAAATGGAATTGAACCATTTTGCTTACAGCCTTACTCCTTTACTCTCAGCCACTGATAATCAGTTCACGAAATAGGTTAAAGTTGAGCCTACTTCTTTAATCCACTACTCCTACTGCCATTGTAGATCACGCTTAAGCAAAATGGTTCAATTCCATTTCGTACGACCTACTCCTTTACTCTCAGCCACTGATAATCAGTTCACGAAATAGGTTAAAGTTGAGCCTACTTCTTTAATCCACTACTCCTACTGCCATTGTAGACCACGCTTTAGCTTTTGGTGTAAGGAAGCTAAAATACGGGCATAATTTTTAAATTATTTGTAACACTGGCCACACAATGGTGTTCTGACACCGTAAGTAAGCATAAAGCGTGGTCTACAATGGCAGTAGGAGTAGTGGATTAAAGAAGTAGGCTCAACTTTAACCTATTTCGTGAACTGATTATCAGTGGCTGAGAGTAAAGGAGTAAGGCTGTAAGCAAAATGGTTCAATTCCATTTCGTACGACCTACTCCTTTACTCTCAGCCACTGATAATCAGTTCACGAAATAGGTTAAAGTTGAGCCTACTTCTTTAATCCACTACTCCTACTGCCATTGTAGACCACGCTTAAGAGCTGAAATAAGAGTAAGAAATAAAATTGATTTATTCCCTTACTTCTTCTTACGCCAGGCTTATCCCATGCATTGTAGACAACACATTATGTTAAAACAGAATGTACAATAAATAACAATCGGCTCGTGTGATAAAAATCACGTATTATAAAAAAGGTACTCAGAGCCTGGACAAGGTTGTAATGTCCGATAAAAACTACTTAATTAAAAAGGAATATACGCTTCAGACCTTATTGGACCATCTTCGGTATAAAATAAGAAATAAATACAAACTAGCGCATGGAAGAATTCACAAGATGGATCATACAAAGGATTACGCAGTCAATAATATAAAATTAAAAAGATATAAAAGTTGTAATGGATTATAGAATGGTTGTACATAAAACGTGGCGCAAGTGAGTGTGACATTGTGAATTAAAAAAGAAAGCTGTAACAGTCAAGAAAATGATATGGGAAGGGAAGAAAGAGGAGATACCTACTTGGAATTATGTTAAACTGTATGAATGACGTTACTGTAATGAGGAGTAAAGAGTAAATAACAAGGACAGGAGTGTGTTGAGAGGAAGGGGAAGGAATAAACGAAGGAAGGAAGCAGAAGGGAATAAATTAGGAAATTAATGTGAGGTGGGAGGAAGCGAGTTCAAAATAGGAAGATATTCGATGCTAACAAGTCTGTGTCTGTCCGATTATTAATAAGAGCTACTTGGCATTTGATATGTACCATCTCTGAAATGAGTCTTTTTTTTATAGGAAGGTTCTTCGTCAAGAATATGGACATTGTCCCAATCAAATTCACGGTTAGAACCGATTTTATAACAAGATATAACAGAGAGAGATGGTGAATTGTTATTTATATCTGTATAATACTCTGTTAAGCTGTCTTTTAGTCTGTCCCATATACGTGGCCCACATAGGTGTTGTTTTTAGCCTTGTTGATAAAATATAAAAAATTTTTGATCCACAATTCCACGATAAAAACCTCGAGATTCATCATCCAAATCTTACTAAATAATTGCCATTCTCTGTCCTTCATTTTTTCTACCATTCATCAAAGGCTAGAAAATTATTGCTTTGACAACTATACTGCTGTTCCTGGAATTTCCGAGATTAGAATTGAAGATAAAAACAAATGTTTCATTGTCCCCTGTGTCAGGTCTGTCTCTGAGCGATTTGTAAAAATTGCTAAAAATTAAATGTCAGCATTGCCTATTGTTGCTACCATCCATTACAACAATTCATTGTTGTAAACAAGGACAAACTCGACAGGCTGTTTCATAATGTGATCTACAGAATCTCTTGCAAGAACTGTGTGGCCACATATGTGGGACAGACTAAAAGATAGTTTAAAACGAGACTAACGGAGCATTATACAGATATAAATAACAATTCACCATCTCCCTCTGTTTTATCTTGTCATAAGGCCTGTGTCCACGATGCTAGGACTTGGTCCAAGTTCCAGTTTCAAGAAATGTGTAGCCAATCAACCTGCAGCTATTCCATAAAAGCTGCAAGTTGATTGACTACACATTTCTCGAAACTAGAACTTGGACCCAGTTCTAGCATCGTGGACACAGGCCTTTAGAATGGATTCCAACCATGAATTTGATTGGGACAACGTCCGTATTCTTGACGAAGAACATACCTATAACAAAAAAAACTCATTTCAGAGATGGCACACATCAAATGCCAAGTAGCTCTTATTAATAATCAGACAGACAGACTTGTTAGCAATCAAATATCTTCCCATTTTGAACTCGCTTCCTCCCCCCTCACGTTAATTTCGTTATTCCCTCCTGTCTTCTTCCTTTGTTTATTCCTCCCCCTTTCTCTCAACACACTCCTATTCTTATTATTTGCTCTTTGTTTCTCATTACAGTAACATCATCCATACAGTTCAACACGATTCTAAGTAAGTGTCTCTTCTTCCTTCCCTTCCCATATGGCACAAATTTTTATCGTTTTCCTGACGGTTACAGCTTTCTTTTTTAATTCACACTGTCACACTCACTTGTGCCGTATTTTATGTACAACCGTTCTATAATTTATTATTACAACTTTAATATCTTTTTAATTTTGTATTATTGACTGCATAATCCTTTGTATGATCTATCTTCTGAATTCTTTCATGCGTTAATTTGTACTTAGTTCTTTTTTATACTAAAGATGGTCCAACAACCAGATGGACCGAAACGTATCATCTTTTGTAATTAAATAATTTTTAGTGGACACTACAACCTTGTCTAGGCTCTGAGCCCCTTTTTTTTATAAGACGAGAATATATAATATTAACAACAACGGTGTGCAATGTAGGAAATCGAGAGACTTCCAAGCGAGAGAGTATCTCTGGAAAATCAACCGAGAGACAATTCTTGAAAACTCACTGCGTCATCTGTTAATTGTAACACACGGCAAAATTAGGACTTCAAATCACGACGTAAACATAAGTTCGATACGTGCAACGAGATTGTTGGACACAAATGAAAATTTCTAGGTGCGCTACGCGAAAACGAGAGAAACGACGCTGAATATGGTACGGAAGACGCGTCCGGATTTTTGTTTACAAATCGTACCCGCGGATGAACCGATTCACACGCGTATCTCGCGGACGAACCGATAAACAAACTCACCTCCTCGTTGATGACGGTCGCATTGCTGAGCGACCGCAAGGCCGAAGTGATTTTACGTCCGAGGTCCGCCAAAACCATGTTTGGACGTTTTTTTTCACGTGTTCACGTCTGGCCGCAGACAAATTTGTGTATTCCGATTGACGGTTAGGAAATTAACGTATAAAATCTATCATTACGTCCCAATTTGGCCAACACGGCATGACGACACATCCGGTCGCGAGAAAACAATCACGCTTGAGTCTCGACGCGGACGTCCCTGGTCAATCGTGCGTGGTTGTGCGGTACGAGTGCTTGTGGCCCGCGACCGATATCTCCCATTTACACGTCACTCCGTTAGAAAGTACGCTCGGCTTGTTTATATATAACCGAGGAGACTCCGTACATGGCCGCCATCCATATCGATCGGTACGTACCACGGTCTTAGGCTGGGTCTACATAGGATGTAGTAAGTCGTGTCGGAAGAAATTGACCAATCACAGTTCATTATTCTTCGACCGTAAGGAGAATAATGAACTGTGATTGGTCAATTTCTTCCGACACGACTTACGACATCCAATGTAGACCCAGCCTTA